GTCTGCCTGCATTAGCTTCTGTTTGTCTCTGTGCAGAAGAGAAGTTAAGTTGTGGTTATATAAGACACACACACACACACACACACACACACACACCACCACCACCACCCCACCACCACCATCCCACCCATCCCCAGACATGGTGCCAGACCCTGTTTAAGTGCTTTATACTTGTGCATGCTTCTTTTATTCCTTACCCCTTCCCACTCCATTTTAAAGGCGAGGCAGCTGAGGCTTACATGAGGGACTTGTCCACAGTCCCGCAGCAACTAAATCCAGGGGTGTGTCTCCAAGCCCAGGCTTCCCGCACCTGCAGTGCCAGGAAGGTTCCGGTTTCATGCCCTTGGAAGCAGGCAGGGTGTGTGCAATCTGGGATCAGACGCCCAGCTGGGGCAGGTGCAGCTCCTAAGCTCCGAGGAGCCTCTCTCTGCGTGGAGTTGTTTTTCTAGCCAGGTCTCCTAAGACTTGGCTCTGGCAGATTCTGCACCTGGTGTCCCGCCCTCCTGGCTCCATCCAGCTAGTTTGGAGCCTGGTATGAGGGCCAGGGCCTAGCTGTCAGGCACACCTGTCAGAAAGGTGAGTTCAGGGGGAGATTCATCTTGGCCCCAAGCAGAAAAGGAAAGGGGAAGGGAAGGGACGTGGTGCCTAGCCTAGCCCCACCTCATTCTCCATACCAGAGATGACCGAGCCGGCTGTCCTGGGTCACAGCCTTCACTCCTCTGAAATGCTCTCTCAAAGCCCTTTCCGGTGATCATCCTGTTTCGTTGGCCACACTCCCTGTGGGACAGGAGCAAGGCTTCCGGGTAGAATACAGGCTGCCCAGTTTCAGGTCACCTGCCCGTCCTGCACAGAGATGCATGGCCACCTTCATCAGAAGCCACTCAGGAGACGTGGGCTTGTGTCCCTGGGACACTGTCGCCTGCCGCAGGGACCTTGATTTCAGAGAGCCACCTGTCTGAGAAGCATGTCTCTGTGCTGTAGTCGTGGGGTACACCTGCTAGAAGCTTACATGTTGTTTTTCTGGAATTCAAATTCAACATGCAGCCGGGGTTTTGTTTGTTGCTGGTTTGGGGAGTCGGGGGCGGGGGCTATTCGTCTGTCGGTTTGGGTTTCTTCTTAGTTGGTTTGGTTTTGCTAAGTAGCCTGACTTAGCTTTCAGGGTGGGTGCTATGCATTACCCCACACAATGCACTTAACAACTAAGACTTGCCCAAGGTCACAACCGTCTACTCGGCCATAGGGAGACCCAGTCAACGACCGTGTTGCTTTTGGCAGTTTGAGGAGGGTCCGGAAGCCATGGCTCTAAAATAAGAATCAGAAACAAACCCTTCTTCTACTGTAAGTTGGGGTCAGTGGGCCCTGCTGGAGGTGGGGGCCAGGCCAGGGGCGAAGGCCTTTTAGAATGAATTGGATCCAGTCGACCTCTCTAGCCTCCCTCCCGCTCTTCCTCCTCGTCTGGGCCTCCGTCACCGTTGGGTCAGTGTCAGAGTCACCCCATGGCCGGTGCTCGGGTTTGCATTTTGCTCTGGCCCCTGCCCCCGCAGCCCTGTCTCAAACCCTGCGTCTGGGGAAAGGTGTCCGGAGCGCTCCAGCCAGACTCGGCCCCTCCTCCGTGTCACGCTTGCTCCAGTGTGGCAGGCCGCTGTTTCTCAGCAGGAAGCTTCCAGGCCAAGGGTGTTCCCGGCTGCTCTCTGGGGGGTGTAGGCAGCCAGCAGTCTGCCTGGAATGAGGTTCAGGGAGGGGCCCCCAGAGCAAACCTCCTACTCCGCAGTTTTGTTGAGAGGCTTGGACAGGGGCCAGCCGGCTCTGAGTCAGTGTCAGAACAGCCCAGACGTGCCTGGTGCGCGGCCCAGGGCTCCCACGAACTTGGGGGCTCTGCGGTTTGGGAGCTGAATTCCAAGGGTGGACTGAGGACAACCTGGGCCAGTGCTTCCTGTGCCACTCACGGGTCCCCAGGGATGAGTGCCCGTATGTGCTTGTTAACTGGTTGGATGGGTGGGTGGATGGATACCGATGTTTAGCAGACCCCACCGAGCACCTGTGGGGAGATGTACATTGTTCTAGGCTCTGGAGACGCTGCCCATGCTGCCCAGAGGAATGAGGGTTCATTGGTGCAGATGCCATCACAATTGGGCAGGGGCAAGGGGTCTGATTTCAGGTGTCTGGAGGAGGTGACAGTGGGACTGAGGTGTGACAGGGGAGGGAATCTCTTCCAGGCTGAAGGTATGGTTGTGAAGGCCTGCAGTGGCCTGAGTCTGGCACCGCACTGGACCCAGAGAAACCTGGCTCTAGGAGCAGGTGGGGCCCGAGTAAACATTTGGATTACACTCCGGATGGGACTGGCCAACTGGGCAGGTTCTCAGCCCTGGAGCAAGATAAGGTGCTTTGCATTTCAAAGGGGCCCTCTGGCTTCTGTGGTGCGTTTGGGGTGGTGGGGTGGGGTGGCTCTTGCAAGGCCTCCCCAGACAGGAGTGAAGAAAGTGTGGAAGGTGGATAAGGGAAAGGGCTGGAGTCAATGTCACCTTTTCCTAAGGCCTCCAGTGGTGGACGGAGGCCAGCCTTCCTGGTCTCGACCCTGCCTCCTCCCTCCCCCCTTTCTGACTGCCCACTGGCCTCAAGGCCAGAGAGCCCCCCAGGAGGGCAGGGTAGTTAGTGACAGGGTTGTAGCCGCTTAGAGAATTGGAGGGATCGTGTGATAAAGATAAAGGACTTGGGGGAATGGGACACCCCAGTGCACATTGAGGCCCCTTGTGAGCTTTTCTTTCATACACTGAGCCCTTTCTGTACACAGGTGTGCGTGCAGTACTTCCTACACGGTGTACAAGAGTACTTCCCGATTACACCGATACTTCCTATACCATATACCAAGCACTTCCTGTGTGTGTACATTGAGCACTTCCTGCAGACACTCTCTGCATACATTGGGCACTTTCTGAACTGTATATTACCGCGAGTCCTTCCTGTGTACATCAAGCACTTCCTGAGCTCTCGGCCTGCGAGGAAGGCTGCCTCTTGTGCGGGATTGTACTCTCATCGTCTAACAAAGGTGGATTCGCTGATTGGACCCATTTTACAGATGAGATAGCTAAGGCTTGCGAGGAAGGGACTTACCCACAGGGCACCCTTGGTCAAAGAGGGAGCCAGATCAATGCCAGGGCCACATCCCTTCGGGAATCTCCAAAGGAGGCCTGCACCCCAGGCTCTCAGGAGGTATGCATCCCCTCAGTAGTGGGGACACTCCTTGTTCCCACGCATCTGTCTGAGTCTCCTCCGCATTCCCTCATGAGGTGAAGTAGGGTGTGGAAGGGAGGGGGAGGCCGCCTTCACCAAATGCTTATCAAGGGCTAGGAACAAATGCACAGTCCCTGCCCTCGTGGGCCTGGGGCTTTTTGAGGGGATAGCTGATAAGTAAGCAAAGGTCGGTGAACTGTCCGGAGGTGCTGTGAGCCCCTGAGGAAGCCCAGGCTGGGGGGACACAGGACAGGCTACGGCATGCACTGAACTCCCATCCCGGGCAGTGGTGGCCGGGGACACAGGACAGGCTACGGCATGCACTGAACTCCCATCCCGGGCAGTGGTGGCCGCCGGCAGGCTGCTCCTGCCCTGGGAGCAGGCATCTGGTCGGGGAAGAGATGGTAAACGAGAGTGGCTTCAGGTGGTGCTAGGGCTTCGGAGGGAAGAGGGGAGATGGAGACGAGGCTGTTGAGAGGACATGCCGTTGCCAGGGGCTTGACTGGCAGGGAGGATGAGGAGGGAGGTACCCACAGAACAGGGTGGGCCTGGGGGTGGGCACATGCTGCGGGGTAGGCCCCCCCACCCCCCACCCCCAGGCCAGCTAGAGCTTGGCTGTGGGAGGAGCCGAGGGGCCTCGTGGCTGAAGGGTGACTCTGGGGCCCAGGCGGTGATAGGTGAATTTACTGAAGCTGACAAGCTGGGCCCTCGGGGTGTACTTTCATGAATATTTCAGAACGTTCTTTAATGGGTCTCTTAGCGAGGTGAGCTTCCGGCTCTGGGCTTGTGTACTCTGCTGCTGGGCTGAGAGTTACCACCAGGGAGGGACACATAGCCTGGCACAGTCCCCCTTGCCCAGAGCCCTGGTTGGCAGAACCTACCGACCGAGGCTGCCCTCCCGCCTGCCCCTTGTGCCGCCCGAGCTCCTCCTGCACACAGTTGCTCCAGTGAACAAACTGCATGTGGTGCCCCTCCGTGGCCTCACTCTCCCCATGGGAGGAGGCCGGTGTGTGCTCAGCAACCTCTCCAAGGCACCCAGAGCCCCAGGGACACCTTGTCCTCCTTGGCCCAGGCCCGGGAGACTCGCCGTGAGTTGTTGAGGCTTGGCTTGCCCTGGAACCCTCTGTTCCTGGTACAGCACCTTGTTGGTGCTCTGCTGCAGGATGACCGAGAGCGTGGGCCCCTAGAGACCCTGAGCGCCGTGTGGGCAGTGCCTCAAGGGTGAGATCGGGAGTCCATGACCTGACGGAGCTGCTACGTCTCGCTGGGCCTCAGTGACCTGATCTGGAAGATGGGGCTGTTGGGGTTTCTGTAGGCTTGCCTGGTGGGGTGGGTGTAAAGTTGGCAGATTTTGATTCGAATGCTGCCTCCTGCCCCTGCAGTCCCTCCCCAAGCTTTTTATTCTTGGGGGGAGGGGGAGGTTGTCATTCATTGAAGTGGGGGCTCTCAGTGGTGTGACAAACAGCTCTGGAAGGTCAAGGCTGGGCTCTCACCTGGCACGTTCTGCAGGGTACGGGGGGCCGGGGGAGGGGGGCGCAGGACTCAGGCCTTTGTGCACAAAGCAATGGCTTCTGAGGTTTTCTCTTCTCCCTCCCCCCATACCTGTGAGGGCCCCCCAAATGTAAAGCGGAGGTGCGTCCTATCTTCCTGCCCACCCCCCTCCCCTGTCAGGCAGCCTGGCACCCTCCTTTAATGCCTGCCACCCCCCCACCCCCATGAGCTGCTGCCTGGCACCCTCCTCTAATGCCTGCCTTCTCCCCCCAGTGCTGCTGCGGGAGGAGGTGTCTCGGCTGCAGGAGGAAGTGCACCTGCTCCGGCAGATGAAGGAGATGCTGACAAAGGACCTGGAGGAATCACAAGGGGGCAAGTCCTCCGAGGTGCTCTCCGCCACCGAGCTCAGGGTCCAGCTGGCCCAGAAGGAGCAGGAGCTAGCCAGAGCCAAAGAAGCTTTGCAGGGTGAGTGATGGGGTCCTGCGGGGCCCCTCTCTTCCTTCACCTGGCAGTGGGCTCCAGGCGCTAAGGGCCCTGCCAGTGTGCAGAGCTGGCGTGGACACCCGTGCCCCTTCCTGGACAGCCTTGTTCCTTCTCTGGGCAGAACCCTGCATCCTGATGGGTGGAGTTCAGACGCCATGCCCTGCTCCCATGGGAGACCCCAGCTCTCCTCTGGAGCCGAACTAGACACCTCCCTTACGGCGTGAATGGTGGGTGGGTCCTTGCACCGACGCTGAACCAGGTCACCAGCCTTGCCCACAGCTGGGCGGTTTTCTTAGACTTCTCAGGCCCACCCCTGTCTCCCCTCAGGCCAGTGTGTAGGTGCATCCGCTGTTTCCGGCATCTCTTGGCGTCTCTGGGGTCTCACAGTGCTTGGTCCCTGGGAGCTCCCCTCTCTGGAGTACAGCATCCAGCCCTGGATCCACAGAGGGGGTATTGAGGGGCCGATGTGGTAGAGGTGTGCCCCGTGGGCTCATCACGAGATGAACCGTAGATGTGTGTGTTGTCTGACAGTAAGAAGAAAGCAGGGGGCCCACCTACCCAGCGGGTGTTCCCCGAGCGGGTGGAAGGACATACCTCCATTTCTGCTCTGCTCGGGGAGGGAGGGGGGACACGCCCGTGCCTGCGGGGCAGGGGAGGCATCTAGCCTTCGGTGCCCAGAGAGCTCGGGCATGAGACAGTGGCGAGAAAACCGCCTGTGCACTCACCTGCCAGGCCTGCATGGGGTCTCTCGAGCCTCCTTGGTTTCTTCCACTCTGGGGGAATGGCAGGGGGGCGGGGGGTGGGGGAGTCCGTAAAGTGGCCCCGACTTTTCACTCGTGGTGTACTCTGACAGTGCGTGCTCTTTGAAAACTTCACTGTTGCCGACGACGACGGCGGCGGAGGGTTATGGCCTAGGCTGATACTAGCCGGTGTGACAGAGGGTCCATAGCACAGTGGCCGGAAGGATCAGAGCCTCTCTCTCCTGTCACCATCCGCAGGGAAGAATTCCTGCCTGGCCGTTCATCTCTGTTCCCTTTGGTCCTGGAGAGACACTGGGAGAGTGCCGACATCCAGGGCCAGAGATTTCCCTTGGCAAGAGCATGGTCAGGTGGCGGGGCGAGCTGCTGGGGGTGCTGGGAAATGGTGTGTTTGAGCTGACTGGCCATGTCCTACCAACAGGTCTGACTTGTGTGTGCGTGTGCGTGTACACGTGCGTGCGTATAGAAAATGGATTTTCTCTGACCAGAAGTGTGGGCAGAATACACACATACACTCAGTCTGTCTGTCTGTCTCTCTGTAATCAGGCCAGTACCCACCTTCCCTCCCTCTGGGACTCTTGGGAAATCGCTAGTGAGAGCCCCTGCCCAAAGTGGTACGGCACTCTTCGCAGGTTCTCTCCAGAAGCATGTTACCCTTAAAGGCAGAGGGCTGCTCTTCCCTTGGCGTTGAGTTTTGGGGGGTGGGGGGAGGGCACACCGAGGCAGTGCTCTGTGTAGTTCCCTAAAGCTCTAGCAGGAGTGATGTATCCTGTGGCTCAGCGACGTCCCATGCGGGGAAGTCATTGGCCAGGCAAACCCACTGTATTCCCAACCACCGAGCGGTCTAGGTGAGGCCCCCCCCCCCTCCTCCCAGCTTCTCAGGACCTCTCTGCAGGCCTTGATGGTCTCCCCTGAGTCAGCTCCTGTCCTTCGGTCTTTCCGAGCTCTGAGATCCTGTGGGGCAGTGGGACTGCCTCCGGGAGCAGCCAGTGCTGTTCCAAGCACCTTTCCCACTATCGTTCCGTAGCCGGGGAAACCTGCCTTCCAGACCCTCGGCCACACTCAGCACGTCCGGCCCTCTGGGTCCCTTCCTCCTGGGCCCAGGGACTAAGCAGAAAGTCACCGACACACACACTCCCCAGCACGTGGAGCCTCCACTCTCCAAACCTCAGTTTCCGGACCTGAGAGAGGGGCCAGCGATGGTAGCTTGTGAGAAGCTAGTGAGGTCAGGACGTTGGTGGTGCTAATGTGTCAGGCAGATAACTGAAGGGTCAAGCTTTGAGTCTATCCCGCGGGGCCTCGGAAGAGAGGTCTGGCAGTGAGTGTACTTTGAAAAATGCAGCCGCTGAAAACCCCGACCCACGTGGGGTTGTGCTGAGGCTGTCTGGAGAGATAATGAAATGACCCAGGTCTCACTCAGGATGAGTGGTGTCAGCATTCCTCTCCATTCAGCCCGAAAGGCTCAGACCTGTACCCGGCTCTTCTCTCGAATCCTCCGCCCTGTAAGATGCCCTTATCTGTCCCCCAGGGACCCACGGATGCCGGGCGGGAGCAGTGATCCCCCATCAGTGAGGACTCTGTCACTGTTCCCTAAGGGAATGCTTCCTTGGACACCCACTGCTCGCCCAGCCCGGCTCCGTGTGACCGCCCTTCCACAGATGGAGGCGCCAGGGAGGTTCGGGGAGGTCACGGGATTCAGCCTGGTCACAAAGTGAATTGGCAGTCGAGTGGCGGGCTTTCTCTACTGTGCCCACAGACTCATGGGTGAAATCGGGCATTCAGTGGTGCCCTCACCCCAACCCAGGTGTCAGAGCCCTCCCCAATACCTGTAGGTGCTGCCCTGCTCGTGACCAAGGGGGCTTTGGGTTTGCTGTTTCACGCAGTTTTATCGGCATGTAATCCCCACATCATGCAAGTCAATAGTTCAGCCATCCTACAAAGAGTTGTGCAGTCATCCCCCCAATCGATCAACTTTAGAACCTGCTCTTCTTCCTTGTTCTCATTGTGACTGCACCTCACCCCCCCAAGCTCCCCTGCCATGCCCCCCAGACACCATTCATCCAGTGACTGCACAAGAATACAAACAAAACACAGCAACAGCAGAGAAGCACTCGAATCAAAGAAAGCAGGGAATATTAAAAACGAGAAGACATGTAAACTGGGTGGAAAGGGAGATGAAATGCGAAGGGGTCACCTTGTAACCTCACGAGGGAATCCACTGTCCGATGCACTCTGCCCGATAGACAGCAAGGCTCGTCACTTCCCTGTCCCGTGGTCAGAGGGCTTCACCGGACACGCCAGTGGCATGTGTTCCCCTCCACACTTCTTTGTTTAAAAACGGAAACCACTGTAAAATGGGCCATAAGGGAGATGAAATGATAAGATACTACATTTAACCTAATGACCTCTGACAAGACGGTCTTTGTTATGTTAATGAGTCATGGCTGTGCAGGACACACACACACACCCGTCCCTGAAGCCTCAACCTGCTTTTAGACGGTTAGTTGCTGAACTGAGGAAATTCATTTTTGTTCCCGAAGCCACCTGCTGTGGTATTTCCGCCACAGCAGAGCCGGGGACTGACCACACCACACGCAGTGGCGGCAGGCTCTGGGCTCTGGGCTCAGACCTGGGTTTGCACGTGGCAGATCTACTACTTCCTAGCTGTGTGAGCTCGGGCAGGTTTCCTAACCTCTCTGCACCAGATTCCCTTTGTTGGGGTTAATGAGAGCAATCCCTGTGCAGTCAGTGCCAACCCTGACCCTTATGTGAGGATCCCTGGTGGTGCGCCAGTTAAGCAACCCGCTGCTAACCAAAAGGCCCGCTGTTTGAACCCTCTCACCGTGGAGTAGGAGGAAGATGTGGGAGTCTGCTTCCCATTAAGATTAAAGCCTGGGAAACCCCGTGGGGCGGTTCTACTGTGTCCTACAGGCAATGTGAGTCGTAATTAGCTCGACAGCAGGTTGGAAGACCTTTCTTCTGTTGTGCCAATGGATAGCTTTGAACCAGCAATCTTTAGGCTAGAAGGTGAGTGCACAGCATTTGTGCCACACAGCCCCCCACACACACACACACATACACACACTTATAATAGGGGGTAATAGTAGTGCTTCCTTGAGTGATCACAAAGACTAAATGAGATATAAAGTGCTTGGCCCAGTGCCTAGGACCAAACCAAAAGCCAAACGCACTGCCATCCAGTTGATGCCAACTCATAGCGACCCTATAAGACATGGTAGAACTCCCCGTGTGGATTTCTGCGACTATAACTCTTTATAGGAATGGACACCCTCCTCTCTCTCCCACACGGCAGCTAGTGGTTTTGAACAACTGACCTTATGGTTATCTCTAGCCCAAAGCATACAGGAGTGAGAATACTTAGCAATTATCAAATGAGACAGGGCTGGCAGACCTCCTTGGGTCTGCTTTGAGGAGTGGGCCACCTGCTGCCTGTTAGAGGTAGCCCAGCCCCGGGACATAGCCCTGAGCCCTTACACCACAGCACATGGCAGACGAGGCGGCAAACCCTCCTGCCCAGACCTGGACAGAGCTGCACGATGCTTCCTTACCAGCCCGAGCACGTGGCGACTGCCTTATAGACAGATGGGGCAGAAGGAGATCGGGGCAAGAGAAGGGTTTATAGGCCCATAATGAGGAGAGTGAGAATCAGTGTCCAGGCAAGGATGGCAGCAGATGTTGGACGACACTTATAACAGTCGGTATCCTTGTGGTGGGAAAAGCAGGCCCCCAAAGACTTCCACTCTGATTGGACCCCCAGAATCTCTCTCCTCCCCCAACTTAGCTTGAGGGTGGGATGACAAATTTCCCAGCTTGTGAAAGGATTAAACAAAAAACTCATGAACCAAAATCACTGCCATCGATTTGATTCAGACTCATAGCAGCCCTGCAAGTGGGTTTCCGAGACTAACTCTGTGTGTGAATAGAAAGCCTGGTCTTTACTCCCAGGAGCGGCTGGTGGTTTCCAACTGCTGACCTTTTGATTAGCAGCCCAATGCACAACCAGCATGCCACCAGGGCTCCTATGAGAAGATTAGGAAGTAAGTCAGAAAACATCTGGAACATCGGCTCTGGGTACAAAGGACATCAGGTTGGGGAGGGAGACTCGCTTGCCGCTCCCTGGTTCTTGGAGGATGAATGTGGGCATGTTTGGTGAAGGGTTTTGGCCTCTCACCTAAGAGTTTAAAGACTAAAGCCCTTAGTGAT